CATCTGGGAGCAAACTTAACTCCTCAGCCATTGGGCGGCTTGTTTGAGGCCGATACACCCGGAAGACCATAGGGGAGTGCGTGGTACTTACTGGTGGGAACTGCAGCTGGGTTCGCGCAGGATCATAAGGCCAGGCGGAATGGACAGAATCCCACAGATAATCGTGTGGTCCCTCTTCCCTCCGCCAGATCCACTGTTCTCTCCCCGAGGATTCCTCTGGGGAGTTGGGGGGAGCGGAAGGCCCTGAGAACCATTGAACCGATGGTATGGGGCTTCCATAAGTACACTGAACCCCTCCGTACGTTTGGAAGTACCGTAGCGGGCTGTAAAACCTCCTCACTTGCCAGCCATCAGCTTCCCCCGACAGAGTCACCTCTCCTCCCTGGATCTGCTCACTGCAGACCGAACAGCTGCTCAATTCCTCTCCGTCCCATAGACAGGTACATCTTCTTGGTTCTTCCTCCCGCCATCCCCACTGACTCACTATTACCAGCCGAGGCAGGTAGCCCATTCGACAGTTCCCACATACCTGGACATTCATGACAGAGACCGGGGAGACGGGGAGGTGTTGCAGTCTATCGGCCGTTGCTTCCTGTCGCCTGGGTTTGTCGCGACCTGGTCCCTCCCAAGTAATGGGGAGTTGACTGATTGATAAACACACAGGGCAGCGGTTCTTCGCTTTACTCCACATCAGCATTTCAGGATCACTCGACAGGACTCCATTTTTGGCCCAATCCAATTTCTTCAGGGCTCGTCCTGCCCAAATCCCTGAAGTCGTTCTTCTGATCACAACCACCCCTTTCACGGTGGCCAGTCCGAGATAGGGTGGAACAACACATGATTCACTGGCCATTTCACCGGCTTCTGTTTCTCTTTAGTCAGGAACTGGCTTGAGCTGCTCAACTCCTTGGATCCCTTTCCTCTCCAGCAGTACTGTATTCCTATCCAGTACTTGCTTAACAATATCTTTTGTCTCAAATTTAGGTTTCACTGCTGCACTCACAGGTTGCTCTCTTGCTTTGACCCACACTCGTTGTCCCACTCTGAATGGCACCTTGGGCGTTGGTTCCTCCTTTTTGTTGCTGGAGCCCCGCCCCACTTCCTTTGTGGTGAACGGTCGTTGGTTGAGCTCCATCGAGGGGGCGGGCCTTTAGGCTCTGCTTCTGTCGTTTAGGGCCTGCCCTATTTCGACCGCCATGGTGCTCCAGCTTTTGTCGTTAGCATTCTTAGCTATCCAGCTCTTTACTAACCCAATGGTGCGCTCCACTACTCCATTGGCTTGGGATGTATAGGGCAGCGAGTACACTCTCATCACCCCATATTTCTGACACCATTGGTCAACCTGTGCATTACGGAAATGTCTCCCATTGTCCGTCCGCAGCTCTTTCGGGATTCCCAGGGCACTGCATACTTGCTCCAGCATGCCGACAACACTGCTGCCATTCGCTTTCTTGGCTGCTTTCACGGTCACAAATCCCGACATTGAGTCCACCAGTACTAAAAGGTACTTCTCTCCCTTCTTTCCTGTTGTTCCCATGGGGCCTGCAACATCCATGCAGACTGAACCCCAGGGGATCATACTCTTGATGGTTAAGCCCTCCAACCGTTGCCCTCGGTGACCTGCGTTGTATTTTCCACACACCTCACAGTCCCTCAGCACGCATTGGACTTGTTTCACTGGGATCCAAAGTTCATGCTCCTCCAGCTCCTTACGGGTAGGTCGTACGCCTGCATGACCAAGGGCCTCATGCACACTCCGCACGACCTCATCCACGTACTCTTCTGGGACCTCCCTTCCTCTGGGAGTGCTGTCCCACTTCTCGATTCCGACAAAGACAATCTTCCTTTGTTGGACATAACAGTCCACCTCATCATTTCCACGCCAATGAGCTCCCTCATGCGTGTGCGCTCGTTGGTGCTCTACTTCAAGCTCCAGTTGCATTTTCAACTCCGCAATCTTCTTCCATAAATCTCTATGCGCCACCGGTTTACCTTTAGCTGTCTCGAAGCCATTCTTCTCCCAAATGGCTAAGTCTTCTTTAAGGGCCTGGGCGCAGTAGTAACTGTCCGTCACTAACCTGGCGCTCTTGATCTTCCTTTTCCCTAGCTCCAGTAGTCCTTCCAGTATCGCCGTCACTTCCCCGGCTTGAGCACTGCCGGGAGCCTTTCCTTTCTGTCGACATCTTTCCTTGCCGTCTTGTTTCAAGATGAAACCCCAATAGGCCACTTGGTCGGACTCTTTCTTTGATCCATCGGTGTAGAGTGTCCATTCTGGTTGTCCTGGTTTTTCAGGTGTTTCTTGTTGTCGCTTCTTGTTGGTGGGTTGTGCTGGCCCGATTTCAAGCTCTGGGTCCAGCAGGATGTCTTCCCATCTCCCCCACCGTGCATTTGTTGCTTTGGTACTTTCAACGGTACCTTTCCTCAGGTACTTGTGGACCTGGCTCTGCGTAATGACTTTAACTGGTTGTCCTTGCGCTAGATCCTTCAGTACACTCCAATATCGAGCTAGTACTGCCAGCTCCTTTTCTTCTTGTGGGTATTTTTTCTCAACAGAGGTCAGAGTATAACTCCATAGTGTAACCAGGCCTCCGTTCTTGTTGCTTACTTTTATCATGGCATCATCTTCCTCGCAGCTGACCTCTGCCACCAATCTATCTGACAAACTTCTCGGTTCCAGTCTCACCGCGGCCTGAATTGCCTTCTTTAGGTCCTCCAAATCTCGGTTAGCCGCTGTCCAAACCCAGGGTCTTTTTCCCCCTCCTTCGTTTTCCACACTCTTTTTCAGGCAGTTGTACAAAGGTTTGGCATACTTCTGGTAGTTGGGTACGTGGTCTCTGACATAGTTGCATAGTCCCAATATTTTCTGCAGTTCATTCTCTGACTGAGGGGGTTGAATGTTCATCATTTTTTCCCTATATCCGTCTGAGAGTCCCAAGTCTGATGTGACCTGAAAACCCAGGTAATTCACCTGGAACTGTCCAAATTGGCATTTCTTGAGGTTCAGTTTTAAGCCTGCTTTTGTTAGATTCTCAATCACCTTTTGTAGCCTTTCTAAGTGCTCTTCTTCGGTGTCATCAGCGATAAAAACATCGTCTATGTACACAGTTGCCCCCACGTCCCCCAGTACTTCCATCACGGCTGACTGAAAAACGTTTGGCGAGTTCTTATATCCTTGGGGCAACCTTTGCCAAACATAGCTTTTGCCTTTATGAGTAAATGCTGTCTTACCCTGGGATTGCCTTGCGAGGCGGAGAGAGAAAAATCCATTAGCCAGGTCAATGCAGGACTTGAACTTCTTGACTCGCAGTGTCTTTAATGTGCCTTGGGGGTTGATCAGGCTGGCCCGATTCGCTATTGTCCGTCGGTTCAGGGCCTTGAAGTTGATGACTGGCCTCCAACCCCCTCCTGCCGATTCGGGTTTCTTCACCGCCTGGATGGGACTGTTCGTGATCGGGTTGAGCTCCTCTCTGATGATTCCTAGGGAACCCAGTTCCTTCACTATCTTGTCCATCTCCTCAACCGCTCCCGGATTCAGCGGGTACTGTCGAACCGGCGGGTGCACCCCACCTTCAATATGGTGCACGAATCTTGGGCCCAAATCTCCGCAATCGTTCTTGAATCTGGCTACTTTTGCCGAGGCAATTATCTCACGCAGCTTCTTCTTCCCGGCCGGGGAGAAGTCACTCTCTTCGATCTTCTGCTTTGTCACTGCCGGTATATCCACAGGTTTGTACCAGTCTTGAGTGTCCGATCCTGTCTGCGTCGGACCAACTTTTACCAACCTTGCTTTTAGGTTTATCAACCGTCTTTGGAGGGTCCGGTAGTTGCTCCTCTTCTTACTTAACTCTTCTAAGTCCTTGACTGTGAGAAGATTGTATGGTCCTTTAATCCACACTACTACTTTCCATGTCCCATATGGCATCTTCTCTATTTTCCCGTTGGCAAATTGTACTTTCAGGTGTCCTGCTGTTTCTAGGTCTTTGCGGGTCATCGACACCTCGGCTCCCGTGTCCACTAGGTAGGGTACTCCTTCCACTTTAGCGTAGATCTCGTCCCCCTCCCAGTAGGCATTTTCCAGTATGACCCGCGACCTGGACTCCATTACTTTGCTGGCCCTCCGGTCCCGGTCCTACGGGACTCATGGAGGGCCGTTCTCTGTTCAGGGCTCAATTTTCTGTATTCCTCTTCCGTCAGATAGGGGCCTCCTCTCGGCTGGTTCGATGATGCCGGTTGGTTAGTCGGTTTCCCTTGCGGCCCTTGTGCTCTTGGTTGAAACGTCCTGTTCTGGAAGTTGGGCGGCGGTCTATTCTGGTAACTAGTCGACGGTCGGCTCTGGAAGTTGGTTGACGGTCTGCTTTGGGGGTTCGATGGGGGTCTCAGGCTGGCCTTGTTAGGTGATCTCGCTTGCTGGCTTGATTCCTTCCTCCGCTTCTCCTCATAGTACTGCTGTTCCAAGTCGAAACTTTTCACTGCCAGATCCATCTGAGTGACGGTGGTACCTTTTACTGGCATTTTCACAAATGTCATTTCTCCTCTTCGGCCCCTCGTCACCTCGCGCAGCACTTTCACATATCTTGCGGGGGGGATGGTCTGCTTCAAGGTGTGCCACAGCGGTTCCAACCGGCCTCCCTTGTCGAGTCGTCCCCTGGCCCTCCTGATTTGGGAGTCTTCATCATCCATATCTTCCAACACCAACCGCTCATAGTTGTCTTGTGCTGATTCTGATCCGATCATCGGATCTGCCGTCACACTAGTTAGCCACAGCTTTTTGGCTCCATCGTGGCTCGTGGTAGACAGCACTGTTGGCCAGACGTCTTTCAAATACTCTTCATTGCTTTCATCTACGTTTTTGTTCCTGACCACTAACCTGAGGTTCTTAAGCTCGGCGTAAGTGTCCTGGCCGGCGCTGGGGACAGTTGGTAGAGCTGGCCCGCTCCGAGAGGCCACAGGGCTTCGCTGATCTGCCTTTGATGGTATTTGTGGCGGCTCCTCCTCATCAGCCGACACCTCATTCACTGATGTCGCTGTATTGTGGCTGTCTTATGGGCTCTTCCTTGAGGGTGTTCAGCGGCTGCATCTTGGCTGGCCTCATAAGTCCATCCCCTGCCCCCACTTGAGGCTCCTTCTCCTGCTGGTCCCCATCATGCTTTCTCTGTCTGTGGTTGTCTGACTCAATTATGAGCCTCCTAACGTACTCTGGTGCTTGGCCCTCCGGCTCGATCGATGACGTCTTCAATTTTATTTTGATTGGCTTGACCATCTTGGCCCGGCCAGTTTGACCGCCGTTCGGGGGGTCGCTCCCCTGGATTCCCAGGGGGTGAATATTGGTTTCTGGAGGTGAGCGTTCAGCGTGGTACTGTTCCTCTATTTCAGCTGCCGCCCTCACACCTTGTTCGGTCTGAAGTTGATGCAAGCGGGGATCAACCACTAGCACCACTTCGTTGAGTCCCAGGAGGTGACTGTTGGTCTTGGCTATCGACACCACCCCTTTTTCAGCGACTGATTGAGCGGTATTCCCTCTCAATTCCGGGGATCTCAGTCCTTGCACACTCACCACTACTCTTCTCATCCCTTCGTTGCTCGCAGCTGTGAGCCCTCGGTATAATCCGTGCCAAATCTTTTTCCTGTAATCCTCGAGGTTGTCCCCTTTCTTGTATGCATCGATTGGGACCAAGACCACTACACCGTAGTTCAGGTTGTAGCCATTTATCACGACCACTTCCCCCTTGGTTGCAGCGCTGCCTGTAGTTCTCAGAAGGCGTTGGTCTCTTTGGTAGTCTTCCCCCGCTCGGTGTTTGAGGTCCACTCTGAACTGTCGGTTGTGGATCTTGTACTTATCGTTGGTGAACGCGATCAGTCCGTCACCTTCGATGTCCCACGGCTCTCCGATGTAGCGATGTACTTGGAGCCCAGTCTGCATCTTGATGCTGATGATTTCCTTGGGCAATGGGGCTAGTTCTCGGGGCATTTTCCGGGCGCTTGATTTCTGAGGCTTTTTCCTGGGGCTGTCGGTTGTTCCTCTCTCTTCGTCTGTATCGCCCCTCTCGTCATCTGAACTGCTTCCAGACCGTTGTCGTAGGGGAGCCGCTGGCTTCCTCTCCATGCTGTATGCTTGTGGCTGGAACTCACCCCTCCAGTCTCGTCGTGGAGACCATTCTTTCGCTGCCTCCGCCCACTGTCCTTCATCGAAGTCGAAGGCAAACGTCCTACCCTCGACCCCTTGTCTCGACAGCTTGGAGGGTCCTTGTCGGTTCCTTGAAGGGCCCGGTTGTTCTTGGTCTTCTTCATCGTCATCTTTTGTGAGGTCTATTAGGTCCTCTGATGTTGGCTTCCTTAGCGGCGACGGGTCACGGCTGGCCCTCTGGGTAGGAGGTTCAGACATGTCCGACTCCTCCAGGTCCAACTCCCGTTTTTTCTCTTGATCTGCTCTGTAAGCTGCGAGTCTCTGCAGGACCTCATTACACTCGGCATAACGGGGTGTTCCTCGGACATCTGGGTTTACCAGGATCCCGTCTATACCGGCGGCTATTGTCGCCGTCTTCACTATGCTGTCGTATTTTTCAGAAGGACTGTAGATGATTCGTAATTTGCCACCTGTCCATCCTTCCAGCAGGTTAGCAAACCATTCCAACCATTCTTTGACTTCCGTCTTTTTGGTAACCTTTTCCGGGCATTTGACGACCCCTAGGCGGTGACCATCTTTGAGCTGGGTGCAGTAGTAGACTTTCTGATGCCTTATTAGTGCTTCCATCATCCTCCTCCCAAGCTTCGGGTCATCCGAATAATGACCTCAGAAACAAAAGGTGAAAAATCCCCCTGGTCCAAAGTGTACTTCCGTCCTACGTCCACCTGTTTAGAGGGAACAAAACCATCATGTTTTACAGAGACAACAAAAGCAAAAGATTTCACTTGAGCACCTCGTTTAGGGCATTCCCGCTTCCAACAACCGAAATAAATCAACAGGTTAGTGCTGCTATCAACAAGACCGAGGAGATGGGTGAGCGCCTTGGAGAAATGGAAAAGAGCATGGCAGAGAAAGAGAGGTGGGATATTGGAGTGAGAGATGCTATCGGCCAGCTGCTAAATGACCAGAAATTACTCCGGGAAAAGATCACGGATTTGGAGGGACGCTCACGCCGAAACAATTTACGGGTATATGGCATCCCTGAAAATGCGGAAGGCACCTCAATGCAGAGGTACGTGGAAAACATGCTTAAAACTGAACTCGGTAACGGTTTGGACTTAGGCAGTGAGAAAAATCTGGGGATAGAAGGAGCACACAGAGCGTTGGATAGTGGGATCACGACGCGCGGTGAGCGCACCTGGCCTGCGAGAGAGCGCACGGGAAAAGCTAAAGGCGTTTCAGCGGCCAGACAGAGAGAACGTAGCTATGGATGATTAATCTTATTCAACTCCACCGAAGACACATTTGAGTACTTCACAGTGAGAGCTTTGGTCAGCTGGCTGGTACCATTCGGAGCTTCAAGGGGTGACCGTCTCTGCACATGAGTATGGTGAGGACTGTGACTCCCCTTCATAACAGGAGTGATGAAGATTCGATGCAGGTGACTCTTAAATTAACCTTTTCAGTTTCCTTTCTTTAAGTAGGCAACTAAGCAGGGGCCCCACTAGTGGCAGTCCCCCCTACATTAAGAGGAATAAAGGACCCTCTTGTTTGGAAGACCTGTTCATTGTTATGTTAAGTTTTGTTATGTATTTCTGTTTTTTGTGTGTTCTGAGGGTCAGGAGTGTTGTTATGCAGGTAGGAAAAAACATGTTTGTGTTTAACTGGTATGCAGTACTATAGTATACAGACTTTGAATGTGAATGGTATAAAAAATCCAATCAAAAGAAGCAAGATAATTTCAAAGCTTAAGCGAGAACAGGTTGGCATTGGGTTCTTGCAGGAAACACATTTGTCGAATGAAGCACATGAGAAAATAAAAAAATGGGGTATAGAAAAACTTATTATGCTTCACACAGATCTGGGAAAAAAGAGGGGTAGCCATTCTTATACCAAACAGTATCAGGTTTGATTTTATTGCAGAACATAAAGATAAAGAAGGTAGATATGTGTTGTTAAAGGGGAAGCTGGAACAGGAAGAAGTCACTCTATGTAATATCTATGCACCCCCTGGTAGTAGTATTGACTTCTTTAAGGAGGTATTTAGTCTTGTGGCTGCAGAAGCAAGCGGCACTTGTATATGTGCAGGTGATTTTAATTTACTCCTAAACCCAAAAATGGATACGACTAACAGGGAACGAGGAAGGACTCGCGTAAAAAAGCAATTCAAGAAAATAATGCAAGAATCGGGACTTACAGATATATGGAGATCTCTCCATAAATATGACCGTGAATTTACTTTTTACTCAACTAGACATAAAGTGTATACCAGAATTGATTATTTCTTTATGTTCAATAAGGATCTTCACAGAGTGAAAGACTGTGTAATAGGACAAAGAGACATCTCTGATCACTCTGGTTTAACTATGAAAATTAATTTAGCTAGAAGCCCTAAAAACACGCTATGGAGGCTTAACACAAGTTTACTAAATAGCACGGAATTCAAAACAGAAATGGCAGAAGAGCTTAAAACTTATTTAGAATTCAACGATAATGGAACAGTTAACCCTACAATTCTGTGGGATGCGGCTAAAGCATATATTAGGGGTAAAATAATTGTAAAATGTGCTAATTTAAAGAAGATCAGAGCAAGAAAACTATCAGACTTACAAGAAAATTTAAAAAGATTGGAGCGGCTGCATTCGATTAACAAAAGCCCTTCCTTACTGGAACAAATGAGGCCGGTTAAGCAGGAGATTCACAAAATTTTAAATGAGGAAATTGAAAAAAAACTTAAATATATGAGACAAAGATATTATGAAGCAGGGCCCAAAGCTGCTAAGGTGCTTTCATGGAGGCTCAGGAAACAACAGGTGAAAAACACAATCTATAAAGTTCGGAACCCAAGAACTAACAAGATAACTAGTAAACTTGAAGAAATTCAGAGTTCATTTGAAGGGTACTATGCAGCTCTGTACACACAGCCGGACAAAATGGATAATCAAACAATTCAAAAATTTCTTAACTCTTTGGATCTTCCATCTATAGGAAAAAACCAAAATGACAAGTTAATGGCAGAAATATCAGCCGAGGAAGTTGACCGAGGGATATCCAATCTTAAGACCAACAAATCACCGGGCTGTGATGGGTTCCCTCCGGAGTGGTATAAGGCCATGAGGGAATCTGTTCTCCCATTATTGAAGGCCTCCTTTAACTACACCTTGGGAGGGGGCGCTCTACCACCATCATGGCGAGAGGCGTTTATATTGGTCATACCAAAGGTGGGGAAAGATAAAACGGATCCTAAAGGGTATAGACCAATTAGTGTATTAAATATAGACTACAAATTATATGCTGCAATATTAGCTAAGAGATTAAGTACCTTGATGCCTTTCCTGATAGATGAGGACCAGACAGGTTTCATTGGTAATAGACAAACACATGATAGTATAAGAAGGGCTGTTCATATTACTGATCATATAACTAAAGAAAAATCAAGTGCAGTCCTTCTCAGCTTAGATGCCGAGAAGGCATATGATACTTTAGGGTGGGAGTTTTTGTTTCAAGTAATGAAGAGATTTGGGTTCTGTGATAGATTTATTCAATGTATAAAAAATGTGTATTCCTCTCCAAAAGCAAGAATTAAAATCAATGGAAGTCTCTCGAATCAAATAACTTTACAACGAGGATGTAGGCAGGGATGTCCTTTAAGCCCACTACTCTTTAATCTTTTTATCGAACCACTGGCTCAGGTTATTAGAGAGGAGGCTGGGTTGGAGGGGGTGACAATGGGGAATGTGGAAAACAAAATATGTTTGTATCCGGATGATGTTTTAGTAGTAATTAAAAATCCTGAATCTGGTATTCCATTGCTTATGAACATCTTGGAAACATATGGCAGACTCTCAGGTTATAAACTCAATATACAAAAAACCCAAATTCTGACCCTTAATTTTGTTCCGTCAAGACAGCTAGTAAATAGTTTTCAATTTAATTGGCGCCAATTACAAATAGAATATTTGGGCATTATACTAACAAAAAATTTGGCTCAATTATACGAGGTTAATTACAAACGAATAAATAAGAAAATATATGAGGACTTGGACAGGTGGAGCCTGCTCCCCCTTGACCTTGGCAGCAGAATCCAAACAATAAAGATAAATGTTCTTCCAAGACTATTGTATGTATTTACAGCACTTCCAGTAGAGGTTCCAACAAAACAATTTAGGGAGTGGGATAAGCATTTTTCAAGGTTTATCTGGAGCAACAAAAGGCCAAGAGTAAGATACTCGACCCTTCAGCTGCCGGGGGGTCGGGGGGGTATGGGTCTGCCTTGCCTAGTGGGTTATTACCTGTCTGCCCAGATTAGACCTCTGGTGTGCTGGTGTAATCCAGCCTATGATGCTAAATGGAAGGACATAGAGCTTTCTTTGATGGACGTCCCTATACAGTCTGTTCTGGGGTGTCTGGATGGTCTGCCCCAGGTATACCAATTACAAAATTTGTGTTTGAATCTCTCTTTGAAAAAGTGGGCAGAGGTAGTTAAAAAGTTCAACCTCCTTAAACAGATAGGAATTTTGAGTTGGCCTGCGTACCACCCACGCTTCCTCCCAGCAGCGGTGGACCACAAATATAGAAGATGGGCTAAACAGGGAATCACCGCATTCTGTAATATAATTAAAAACGGGGAGTTAGTAAGGTTCGAGGATTTGTGCCGGACTTATGACGTGGGCAGACAAGATTTCTACTGTTATCTACAGGTTCGGAGTTTCTTCAGGAAAGAAATCAAAACTTATGACTTTGATGCAGAACCAGG